TTACTGAGATGCATCAGGACAATATCTCAATTGTTTATATGAGCAGTGTGAAATTCATTTTGTAATTTAATAATGTTGTCTTTCCAAAAATGCATTCACTTTTCTTACAAAAAATTTATGTCACAGGCACTTTAAGGTTTCATCTACAACAAATTGGGGTTAAGACCCCACTGTGGATCCTAAAACTCCAAATTTTAGGTCGTTAGAGGATTTCCAGAAATTAAATTAAGTTTAAAACTGACTGCTAAGAACATTTCTGCTATAGTTATATATGGATAAAAACAATTGGTCTATTAGCAATATTTGAATAATTCAACCAAAAATACTTTGAGTTTCTGCCAGTTTTTATTTTTTTGTCATTTGTGTTTTATAATGAACATGGTCTTAAATTTAATTTCACTTGTCATTAAAAAGTCTTAAATTTAACTTGAACTGTAGGAACCCTGATTAAGGTGCTGTTCTGCTGTTTAAATCTGTTTCCTGCTTCTTGTTTGAGGTGTTGCTGTCTCTGAAGAAGCCCATGGAGCAGAAGGAGTCACCTTTCCTGGTCTTCCTGCTCCGTCACCTGGGCGTCAACACTAAAGTCAGGAAGTTTGACATGTGTGCCACGACATTCATCAAGGAAGTCTCCATGAAGTGCCTGGAGTTCAAAGGTCATAGCTCTCAGCACACTTTAACTCGTCTGTATTGGTTTGTTGGCATCACAGGTGGTGCAGATTTATCAGCTGCATGTCTGTTCCACCAGTCTTTATGAACTTTAGCTCAGTTTCTTGTTCTTAGCTGACAGTAGTGGCACTGAGTTTGTTCTGAATACAGATGTCACCTGCACCACCTCCTCAAGGTCAACTGGAAAGATGAAGTCTACAACTATGAAGTCAGAAAGTGTGCTAACATCTCAGTTTAGAAGCATGACCTACTCAGAGTTAGCCTACGTGGACCAACCGCGCCATTCAAATGGACGATGCCAGACTGCCAAAAGCTGTCTACTACAGAGAGCTCCAGCATGGCAAGAGAGGAGTCGGTTGTCCAAAGCTTAGAGTCAAAGCCACTGTCAAGTGGCATCTGTCATTATGTAACATTCCCCTTTCCACCTGGGAAGCTGCAGCAACAAACAAAGATCTGGCAGCACCACACCAATGATGCAATCGTCATCATGGAACACTGACTGGAAGAGGAGTCAAGTGAAAGAAGCCAGCATTGAACCAGCAAAGCAACCAACGAACRGGTTCTTCCAAACTTTAATTTCCCTTTGGGATCAATAAAATATCATTCATTCATTCATTCTACCAGTCCGATCTTTCCCAGAATCAATGCAGAGTCATGTCCACAGTCTGGCAGGGTCTGTCGGCACCGTATTGGACTTCCCACACCCAAAGTTACCATTCCACTCAGCCAGAGTGACAGCCGACGTACGGTTTCCTGCAAACTTTGGTTGGTCTGCAGAATGGTCATTTGAGCTGCTGTGGTTATGAAGTGATTCTGTAATCTCCAACCAGTCTGCTTTTTGTCCACATAAATGCTACTCCCTGGATATTTTCTCTTTTTTAGACCATTTTCTGGACCAACCATCAGGATGACAACATCACACAACCATTAGGGTGGTTGTGTGTAAAAGTCCCAGTGTATCCACAGTTTATGAAACAATCAGTCCAGCTCGTCTGGCACCAACAACAACGTCACAAAGTCACTTAAATCCCCTTCCCTTTCTTCTTTCTGACACCTGGTCTGAACCTTAGTACGTTATCTTCAACACGTCTAGGTACCAAATCCATTGAGTTGCTGCCTTCTGATTGGCTCTTTAGCTATTTGTGTTAAACAATTGAACAGATGGACCTAATAAAATGGCCGATGAGTGTATTAAGACTGGTTTACGGCTTCTTTTACAGACTTGGGTGACATGATTGTTTTTGTTTTGCTTCCTGTTTCAGACTCCAGTGGCGAGCCTCTGTGTCTCATCAGCTCCTCGGTGGAGTCAGAAGCTGAGCTCCTGAAAGTGGAGTACCACAAGGTGAGGACAGGTGGAGCCAAAGTGCCAACTCACATTATCTGAGCTGTTACAGGGGATTCTGATGTTATCAGTCCATGAAATGGACGTTATTAGGCGTTATCAGTCCCATACAATGGTTTCAGAGGGTCCCTACTGTGCCTTCTAGGCTTCAGACTGTCCCGACAGTGCCCCCTAGTGGTTAATATGTTAATGACAATGAATGTGTAAATAACCAAAACATATTGTAATAAATTTTTGGTGTCTGTGTCGGACTCGAACTCTGGTCTCCCACTCTACCCATTGCTCTATTGGAAGGCCACAATACACATTTGTCGGAGGTTAATGCTAACCATGTCATTTGCTCTAAGGTTAACCTTGGTGGCTTTAAGCCTCATATTAACCAGATTTTTTTATGCCTTATATTAACCAGATAGTGGTTTTATGCCTCATATTAACCAGATAGTGGCTTTATGCCTCATACTAATCAGATAGTGGCTTTATGCCTCATACTAACCAGATAGTGGCTTTATGCCTCATACTAACCAGCTGACAATCAGAAGCCATTCTAGGGGACTGATAACACCTAATAACCTCCATTTCATGGATGATAACATCCGAAGCAGGTGGCTGTTATCTGATGGCAGATTTACTGATCCACCTGTCTGTGACTCATCAGGCCGACCGCTGTGGGCCGGACTTCTCCTCCGTCTATAAGAACACAGAGCAGATGATCAACGTAAGTTTCTGTCCGTCAGTGCCGTCCTGCAGATGTTTGTGGTTTAAGGCTAACTGTGGCCTTCCTAACCTTACGTGAGTTTCACATCCGTGTCTCTGCAGGTGACCTTCACATCCTTGGATGTCATGCTCCACACCGAGGCTCTTCTGTCGACCATGAACTTCCTGTCCACAACACTGTCGTCTGGCAGTGCACCGTCCACACAGAAAGACGTCCCACCAAAGACAGAGGAGAGGACAGCATCTGCCAAGTCCAGTTAGTATCCCACACAGAAACTCCAGCTGCAGCTCTGTGTTCAAAGCTTAATGTGTACCACTTCCTGTCAGCTGCTTTGGTGTCTCCTGTGGACTCTGACGTCTGGGACCTGAAGGTGGCCGTAACTCTGGGAGCTTTCAATGTCCTGGTGTGTGATCAGACCTGCAACATGGCTGACATCAAAGTTCAGGGTATGGAACCAGATCTGAGCTCCTGTCTTCAGACCTGATCAGACCCTGACTTTATTTTTCTTCTCAGGCATTAATGGGTCTTTGTTGATGCAAGGACCTCAGACTCACGTGTCAGCCCGCCTGAAAGACTTCATTATCTTGAACGCAGATCCAAAAAGCATCCACAAGAAGGTCAGTTTGTCTCGTTGGCTTCGTGTCCTTTCAGTTCCAGTTACATATTAGGACATAATAAAGCTGATCTGACCCTGGTTCACTTCAAGAATAACCCAAGCTTCATGATGTTAACCTAGCCTACCTGCAAAACTAACAGCCTCTCCTCCTTCAGGCCATATCCATCGTAGGAGATGAGGTGTTCAGCTTCAGCATGAGTTTAACTCCAAACGCCACGGAGGGCGCCGGCTACGTCGACACCTCTAAATGTGACGGCGCGATAAAGCTAAATGTGGGCTGCATCCAGGTGGTTTACCTGCACAAGTTCGTCATGTCCCTGCTGGTGAGTGAGAGTTTAACTGGACTTAACAGAACCAGCTGGGTTCTTCATTTCTGCCCGCCGCTGAAAGGCAGATGGTGATCTATTTTTACAGATATTGATCTAATGTTTGGTGTGGTAGTAGCTGAGACTGACATTGGTGGGCACCGGCCCGCTAAAGCGCAAATCCGCTAATTGTGGACCTAAATATTTTGTTTGCGCTTTAGYGGTCTTACTAATTTTTTAATTCATAAGCTGATTTGCACTTTCTAAAATTAAAATGCAGTACCACTAATACCTAATTATCTACCAGTCATCATTATGTTGAACAGCAGAAGGTATGACTGTCAATGAATCACAACATGTGATCTATCCAACAGCACCCCTCCCAGATAAACACATTTATTGTGAAGGTATACATCCTGCTGAGTGTTACTTTGGGTCACGGTTCATTTCCCACAATGCTTTGTGTCTGCTTACGTAACAGGAAGGCAATGTTTAGAACTCCGTGTCCCAGCTAAAACAGTAAACATTTGTAATCCATACTAAAATTTTGTATTGATTTATTTTACTTTACAATCGGAGCTCCTTTTTTAAAAATAAATAAATAAAGTTTAAACACTGGAGCTCAATAC